TTAGGGAAATAACTGAGAAAATCGATAACATAATCAAGTACCAATTTGAAATGAAGGCTACAGGAACTGAAATGAAGAATAATTTACAGGGAATCAACAGTAGAGCAGAGGACACTGCGAATCAAATCAGAAATTTGGAACATGAGGAAACAAAAAACACCCAACCAGAAGAGCAAAAAGAAAAAAAGAATCCAGAAATATGAAAATAGTATAAGGAGCCTCTGGGACAACTTCAAGAGGCCCAATATTCGTATTATTGGGGTGCCAGAAGAGGCAGGAAGAGACCAAGGAATTGAAAACCTATTTGAAAAAATAATTACAGAAAACTTCCCCTACCTGGGGAAAGAAATTGACTTACAAGTCCAGGAAGCACAGAGGGTCCCAAACAAGAGGAACCCAGAGAGGCCCACAGCAAGACACATCATAATTAAAATGCCCAAGGTTAAAGACAAAGAGAGAGTCTTAAAAGCAGCAAGAGAAAAGCAGTTAGTTACCTACAAGGGAGCACCCATAGTACTGTCAGCTGATTTCTCAAAAGAAACTTTGCAGGCCAGAAGGGAGTGGCAAGAAATATTCAAAGTGGTGAAAAACATGGAACTAGAACCAAGATTGCTCTACCCAGCAAAGCTATCATTTAGAATTGAAGGTTAAATAAAGAGCTTCACAGATAAGAAAAAGCTAAAGGAGTTCATCACCACCAGACCAGCACTACATGAAATGTTGAAGGGTCTTCTTTAAGAAGAAGCTAATGAACAAAAGAATCTGATGAACTAAATAGATCCAGAGACACTGACGCATTCAACAGACGATCATATTTCCGAGGGAAGGGGGAAGTGGGGTGGAGAGTGGGAAGTGATTAACCAAAGAAGTTATATGCATATATGCATAACCCATGGACACAGTCAATAGCAAGCTGAAGGCCTGGGAAGGGGGTGGGAGCAAAGTGGAGGGGAATTATTTGGGGTAAAGTGGGATACCTGTAATACTCTCAACCATAAAGATAAATTTAAAAAAAAAAGATGCTCTGCATCATTCATCAATTGGAAAATGCAAATTAAAAACACACTGAAATACACTGCATATATATTAGAATGGTGAAGATATGGAGCCACAAGAACTCCCACACATGGCTGGTGGGAATGTAAATTGGTAAAGCCACTCTGGAAGTCAGTTTGTCAGTTTCTTATAAAATTAAACATACACTTACTATCTGACTAACCGTCCAATTCCTAGGAATTTTCCCAAGAGAAATGAAAACATATGCAAACATAAAAACCTATATACACATGTTTATAACACATCTATTCATAATTGCCAAGAGTTAAAAACAACACCAAACAAGTGTAGAATGAATAAATAGATTGTACATCTATACAACAGAATAGTAATCAGCAATAAAAAGGAATGAACAGATACATACAATGACATGGGTGAATCTCAAAAACATTATACTAAATGAAAATGCGACTAAAAAAACTACTTACTGAATAACTCCATTTTTATGACATTCTTGGAAAGTCAAAACTATGGGAACAGAAATCAGGTCAGTGATTGCCAAAGGAGGGGATGGGGAGACTGGTTTGATCACAAAGAAGCAGGAGGGGACTTTTGGGGGCTGATAGAAATGTTCTGTACCTTGATTGTTGTGGTGATTACATTCATCATACATCATACATCATACATCATACATCATACATCATACATCATACATACATCATATAAAAATGGTGAGTTCTACTGTGCCTCAGTATACACCTCATATTATACCTCACTACACAATAAAAATATCTATTTGCTAAATTAATGGATGCAAATACTCTAGAATGTTAAGGGTGCCTGTCTATGGGTGGGAATATTACCTGTTGATTTTTATATCTTTTCTCATTTTTTCTGTATTGCTTTTTAAATCAGTAAAAATCAAGAAGACACCAAAAGCAAAGTCAACAAAAGCAAAAATAAACCAGTGGGGCTACATCAAACTAAAAAGCTTTTGCACAACAAAGGACACCATTAACAAAATGAAAAGGAAGCCTAATGAATGGGAGAAAATATTTGCAAATCATGTATCTGATAAATAATTAATATCCAACATATATAAGGAACTCATATAACTCAGCCCAAAACAAACAAAGTGATTATAAAAAATGGGCAGGGATCTGAATAGACATTTTCCCAAAGAAGACATACAGGTGATCAACAAGTGCATGCATGAAGAGGTGTTCAATATCACTAATAATCAGGTAAATGCAAATCAAAATTACAATGAGATATCACCTTATACCTGTTAGAAAGGCTATTATAAAAAAGACAGGAAATACCCTTCTCTCTCCCAAGCTCTAAGGGCCCCTTCTTTTGCCTCTGTAACTTGTATCTTGAATCCATTTCTTATACCGCTCACTTCTTCTACCTCTGTGACTTTCTAAATAAACTTTCTCTTATAGTTAAAAAAAAAAAAAAAAAGACAAGAAATAACTGGTATTGGAGAGAATGTGGAGAAAAGTAAACCCTTGTGCACTGC